AGGCAATTGATTATTAAAATTTCGATTTTGATCAATATCTGCATTGGTTGCATTAGTATATGATAGAAAATTTGATGCGGCTCCATGAAGAAGATTAGTAAATGCAACAAGTAGTGAACGTTCATAGATTAAACGATCAAATAAATGAATAAATTCTTGTTTAAAAATTGCATCAGGTATAAGTAATCGCTCACGAGTTCGTCGATTACGTATATATCCATATTTATAAATCATATCACAGCATTCATTTTTATATAACACACCGTTGTATATATCATTTCGACCGATAATATTGCAAATTTCATCAAATTTTGGTTCTCCTAATATACCTTGACATATGATACAAATTTTTGATATTGGAAGCAACTGATAAATTCTAAAACGATGTGGTTGTAATTCGAATCTGCACTGTAATTTTTCAATTGCTGATAATAAACGTTCATTCTCGTTGCTAAGTAACACTTGGTCAACTAATTCTGGTATACGACTAATCGACATTATTTTTGGCCAAATATTAGCTTTATAGTCACTATTAGTCGTTTCATTAATAATAGTCAAAATGGTTTGTTCTCTTTTAAAATAATTATCGACAATATTCATTGGATACAGTCGAATAAGACGTAAGAATAAAGCAACATGGGAAGGTGGAATATATTCAAAAAGATCCAATAAAAAATTTGTATTAGACATATATATAAGCAGTAGTGGCGCACAATCTGGAATCTAAATATATTATATTCGCTATTAGAATCAAAGTAAATGATTAAGAATATATTTAGTTCATTAAACTGTAAGATTATCTACTCTTTATTTTTCATACAAAGAAAACAAAGCTAGAAAATATATGCGAAAAAGGTTACAAGAAATAATAAATGATAAACGTAACGCTACAGTAATAATAATATGAATTAAATTTTACTAAAAAGAAGAGAAGAAAACAAAAATGTTCAAGTATTGCTAAATTAATATTCATAAGACACTTCTTGCATATGAAAGAGAAAAATGTGCAACTTCATATACATTTTAAACTATATACACATGAATATAAGAAAAATAAAAACAAATGGATAAACGTGATCAAGTTTTGGCAATATCTATAGAAGAGGAATAGATACAGAAAATTTCAAAACAGAACATAATATATTAAACACACATGATTATGAATATAAAAAAAGATATTACTTGAACGTATTAACATTATTTTGATTATTGATTGTTAATTGTCATCGGCAAATCTTTTTGGTTTTCGTTTCCGTTTTGGTGACGGTTCATCACCAGGTGCTTGTTGTCGTTTAGCACCTAGTCGTCTTAATTCTTTGTTTGTTCGCTGTGAAGCAGTCATTGTGGATCGTGGCCGATCGAGTAAATCTCGAACTAGATCAAGAAAAATTTTGATATAGAATAATCAGAAATATATGAAAAGAAATATTGTCACCATCATCAGATGATACTGAAGCTACATTAACCATAGGCAAACTCATGTTAGTATCAGGACAAATGATCTTGTTTTGATAATATTCACTAAAATAGCCTGCTTTGATTTTGTCATACCACTCACGATTCAATAACCACTTGTTATGTACTGTGTTAAACATATTATTAATAATAGAAGCTGGTGTAGATGCATTTTCACCATTAAGAACTTTTCCCACATAGTCATCAAATGTAATACCAACTTTTTCTCGAAGTTTCACTTCAAACGATGCTGTATTAGATGCAGATTGAGAATTAGGAAACAATTTCACATATCCAATTTCATATTTAGTTATTTTTCTCCTTGGAATGCTTGATAAAAATAAATCATCGATTTGCTTGATGAGACCATGTTGTTGTAAATATCCAATTACAATATTCTTTGTTTCAGCATTATTATATATACGAGTAGCATCTGTTTTTGTAAATGCAATAAATGGTTTGAGCATAAGCCGCTTTGATAATGTAATAATATCTAATTTCAGAAAGCAAAAAAAGATTACATAGTACAATATGATATCAATATAACTCACCAAATGTTTTAGATGGCTGAATATTCGTTTCATTAGAAGTTTTGTTTGAATCATCTGATGTTGTTGTATACGCAGATGGCATTGTTTCATTATCCGATGATACTTGAGAATTAGAATCTAGTCAAGAATGATATACAAACTAGAAAAATTCCTCATTTTCCTTACCGACGTCCATAGCACTAGTTGAAGTAGTTTTATATCCATTATCATCATTATTTCCAACGATTATTGACGAAGATAATTTACAGGATAGTTTCTAGATAGCATTATCATTTAATTTTATATATTTAGTTAAAAAAAACTAAACCTGATATGGATGTTGCTGATTATGGAAGCTTTCATCAGAATTATTGATATTCAAAGAATCACTTATTGGATAATCATATTCAATAGAACTAAAAGCTAAATAAAATAAGAGCAATATAAGTTTTCTTTCAAGCATATTCAAAATACAATCGATCGTTTTGTTGTTATCGATCTTATCAGAAGTCGAATTTTCACAAATAAATGTGCTACTTGACATAAGTTGTGCGAAGTTATCAATGTTGATTGACGACATATCTGAAATATGATTGAATGTAATAATAAAATTAAACACAAGATATTTGCCTTGTTGTTTATCAGCATCGTTACACTGTTGAATAACACTCACATCATTGAGATTCATATTCACTTCGTTTACACTACTTTCCACATCTACATTAAGCAAAATGTACCTGCTTTTTCTATGAGAAAACAGAATCTTACTGTCTTTTAATTGTTCCAATACCTTTATACAGTCATCTATGCTTTGGTTTTCAATATTCGATTCCAAAACAATTGTATTAGCTTTAATGAAAAAGCGTCGAAATAAATATTAATAAGATGTTAAGAGTATCACAAAGCTTACCTTTTTCGTTGAATAAACCATGACTTTTAAGTATACTTATTTCGTAAGTTTCATTTGAAGACATATTCTTGGAAATTGACGACGGGGGTAGCTTCGTTTGAAGTTGTTCAACAACATCAACATGTAATAAAGATATATCCATTACATCAGGTTGAGATAGATCCATTATAAGTGTATCAGTCGTGTTAATGTAATGATGATTGTCGACCATTGAAGACTTAGTACATATCAATAAATCATTTTTTCCATTAGTTGGTCGAATACAAATTTTTTTTAATTGCTTCATAACATCATCGTCAGTATTGAAATTAAGAATGTGTTCTGATGCCAATGAAAATGTATTGGAATTAAAATCAATACCAATTTGGGCACTATGTAAACCAGGTTTCAATATTTCCTGGGCAACGGGATCATCGGCATTGCCCAAACGATGAATAATTGAAATATAATCAACTAACTGAGAACTGATATAATCAATTGCTGGTTTATCAATCTTCCCTGCTAATTCAGGTGTTGGTAATAAACATTGTTTCCATAACTTTTCATATTCATTAATATTCAAGTTTAATTTAATAAGTGCTGTATGTGCTAAATTACTTCGTTTAATTTGATTAGGTGTTGCCATCGAATAACTTGAACGAGTTCCTCTGATGAATCGAAATTTATTAGGAGACCGATATATCAATTCATTATCGATTAAATATTCAATCGCTGTTACCAAACGATCCTTATCATTATGAAATTGTCGATATGCATTGAATGTTGATGTAGAAAAAAAGACGAATTTTGATAATATTATAGTAAGAATGTCTTGATATGCAGATCAGCATTTTCAATTGTTGGTTGTGCTTTTTCTTGAGTTTTCTCTTGTACACTAAAACTTTCCAATAAACAAGAAAACTTAAAAACAATATGTATCAAAAATACCTTTTCAACACACGACATGGTATCGGAGAGGTATTGAATTTCTCTTGAATTGATGATAGATCAAACAATTGTCGTGATACATAATCAACATGACCAAAAAATAAATCACCCATAAGAGCTGTATCTTTTTCGATAACTAAGATTTTCGTGCCATCATCTTTACGTAAATTTGATGGAAACATTTGGTCCATAACATTTTTAACAGCTTCAATAAAAGAATCGGAGACACGATATGGCGGTTCCACGGTTTCTGATATTTCAATAAATTGATAAACATCATCGTGCCATAAAATATTCATAATTAATCGGAAACGAGCAAAATTACAAATAAAACTATGAAAGAAAATATTATTACACTAATATTATATAGATAAATTTACCGAGGAATTTTAGCCGAATTTTTGAAACTGATGATACCTTCATGTTCTTGTTGTTCTGTTTCTGTTGCTTCTTCCCATTGTTGGTAAACACGATTGAACATGTAATAGTGAGCACTTTTACTGTGTTCATATGAAGCATCGCTTTCAGGTTCTTCAAGCTCAATTTCAATTTTTGATGATAAGTAATGGTATTGACGCTTAGAAGTTGGTCGTAAACGATTCCATTTCTCTTCAACGTCCGGATTATATACATCTTTAAGAAAATATAAGCAAGCTTTATGAAGAAATAAAATATGACATTTACTTGATTTTTTCTTTTTAGATTTATCATATACATTTTGTCGTGCAACATATTCAACTTTTCCAAGTAAAAAAGACACTGTATAGACATGTTGCAACGATGGCACCATATTAGATACCACACCATTCGTACCAGAATTGGTTTTAATAGCTTTCATTACCGGACATGAATAATGAGTAAATCTATTGTGAGCACCACTAATACCATTTGCTCTAAAATTTACAAAAATCAAGAAAATAACGAAATCTATTCAACCGTTACTCACTCATAATGTTGTTGTCATACACGAGCATATGGATCACCAACACTTGCACCAATAATAGAGGCACGTCTTCCGTCCGGAATATTGTACGATGTAGAAAGAGTTGCTCGATTCTGTTGTTTAGTTCCATCGAACATTTGAATAAGCATATTCACATTTTCTGAAAAACGAGGATCACTATATTGATTATCATATGCACCTAAATTCGAAAGTAAAGTGTCGCATTCTGTGGAACATAATAAACGATTGCCATATAATAAACTACGAAACACTTGAAGTGCTGTCGACTATAATAGCGAAAAACATAAGCAAAGAAATTTAATATGCATCATACATTTGAAACAATATATGGTTGTTCAAATAATAAATCTATACTTTTATTTGGATGTTGAATATACTCTTGTTTGATATCCATTTGTGATAAAGTTCGACCTAGGGCATCCATATGAGGAGTTAAGGCCGACGACTTGCCACTACCTTAATGATAAATAATATGCAACTTAAAACAAGATATTATGTTACTTTAGATACGCTTACCTGATGTACCAATAATGTGTCCAAACATATTTGTACCATCAGAATTACCATTATTAACATAATGATAATAATATGAGTTGCTATTAATTGCAGACAAATAATGTAACAATATATACAAACTTAAACCTTTATCAACATTGGTATCGGATAAGCAAGACATAAGTGTAGCCTTTTCAAATGGTGTTAATTTTAATAACTTCTCACACGGATCGAATATTTCATTATGGTTACATAAACGTGTTCGTGTTTGTGATTGCGTCAATGAAAAATCACGTATAGTCGGCTTTGGTATACGTGGTAACATATTCAATAAAACATTAACGAATAATCAATATTGTAATAACGGTATAAGAATAAATGAAGATATTGAATATTTAAATCACTTCTTCAACGCTCGGACACAGAGCAAAACGTTGTAGTTTCTTCAAGGAATATACTAATATTTATCGTATATACTAGAAGAGAAAGACATTATCCGTTATAGAAAATAAAAATCTAAACAAATAGAAGCATAGTAAAGAGAGCAAGTCGAATGCTGGCTATATATAGATGCGAGTGTACAAAGGAAAAGATATCATAGTCAAGAAAGTAGAAACTAATATTATCTAAACAACAAAGCTACATCCCTCGATGTCTTTGTTCGTAAAAGAAAAACATTCATCGTATTTTCGTCCGCCGTCAATGACAAAAGGAATACGAAAGAAACATATAAACCTGCGTTCACATACCCAATCAGCTAAAATACTATTAGTGTGTAAAACGCAAATAGCGCAAACGTCATTTACGAATCCCCATACATATACGTATACATATACATATGTATATACATATCTTATCACACTGTATAACCTCTGTTCATTCACATATTGAAAGGAAATAACTAGCTAACAAGCCAGCTAGTACGAAACAAACATAAATATTCCAAACATAGCTCGTTTACTTAGCATTTCCTTTCAACAAAAACAAACACAGACAATAAGAAAACCTTACAAACGTTTCAAATACATTTAACTAATATCCTAAAGATATATTTACTAGATCGCGCGAAAACTATATCCTTATATAGACCAGCTAAATTTAAAAAAAATCTACCTCTCTAACACGATCAAATAACAGGGACAAACCCATACATATATTCCCAAACATAATTCAAACTACACATATAGGCATATATTTATGTACATATAAATCTAAATCCAAATCTAAATCTAACTGCATTGACATATGTACATAAATCTAAATCTACATCTAAATCTAACTGCATCAACATATGTATATAAACATAAATATATAAATCTAAATCTAAATCTCAAACTAACTGCAGCTACATAGGTATATAAACATAAATATATAAATCTAAATCTAAATCTAAATCTAACTGCATTGACATACAAGTAACGCGCGTCGAAGCGACTCGCTGGACCCTCGACTGATTGCCACTAGTATACTTCCAAAAGCAAATCATGAAGATACACTCTTTTACTCCTTATACCATAGTTTGTTAACATGTTTCTCAATTTTCAGCATTATGCCGGGTGACTCGATGAATCCAACAAAAACTTTTTCTAGACAATACACGAGCACCTCCATGAACAGTGTTATATCCGCCGCGGCTCGTCGATCGTCGGCGTCCCTTCGGTCCGCCACTCCCGACTCACCGCTGCTAATCGATGATCCCAACTGCTTTTCACTCTATGCGTCACTCATCTATTGTTGTTACACGATCATTTAAGAGCAGGCACTCTCTTGGTATACTTTCCCATATAGTGGGCGAGGGAGACATATCGAGAAACCAATGGTGACATCGGATCCCTCGCTACCGAACACTTACGATTATGGTTTTGAAAGGTTTTCCGACTGAATGTGCTCCATTGACACCAACTCTTCTTTCGCCTCTTCAGAGGGGCAGACAAACTATTTTTTCTCACACCTTCCTTACAGTCGAGGAAAGAAAACGGTCTCACCACTTCGTACCACACATTTCAGAGGTATGCGGTATTAGCAGATGTGGATATGATTATTTTCACATTCAACATTCTCATCCACCTGTTCACACCATCAACCAAACCCGGAACCAACCCACCATATCACCCACACCCATAACCACACTCTCAAGACCTAATTCCACAGTCTCGTTAGTCGCGATTTCTGATTCGTCAGTTTTACAAACCTCCGTGTCTCACTGGAGAATAAGTAACGTTCGTCCGAGGATTCAGTTAGCTCTTTCTCGTAGAAATGCATTTTGTTCTAATTTTCTGGAAAAAAAATCAAACCGAGAAAAATTCATTTTCGATGTTTTTTTGACCTGTCACCTACCCTCACCCACCTCCTACCCATGGTCACCTAATTGACATCAGATTCGAACTCCCGCATCAAAAAACATCTAGAAACACGTTTTTCGAGAAAATAATTTTCGATTTTTTTTGACCTGTTACACACCCTCACCCACTTCCCACCCCATGGTCATCTGATTGACCTCAGATTCGAACTCCACGCATCGGAAAACCTCTAGAAATGTGTTTTTCGAAAAATTAGTTTTCGATGTTTTTTTGACCTTCAACCTTTGACCTTTGACCTTTGACCTGCGACAAACACACAAACGCATTTCCATTTTTTTCCCGCATTTTTTCCGTAAAACCCTCCTTTCAGTCGAGGGAATGTACATAAATACAAATACATAAATCTAAATCTACATCTAAATCTAACTGCATTAACATATGTGTATAAACATAAATATAAATATATAAATCTAAATCTAAAACTAACTGCATTAACATATGTATATAAACATAAATATATAAATCTAAATCTAAATCTAAATCTAACTGCATTGACATAGGTATATAAATACAAGTAACGCTCGTCTGCGGACTCGCTCGGCTCTTTCTCGTAGAAATCGTATTCTACAATACTAAACTTTTTGCTTATACAGTTTGGAAAAATTATCACCAGATTTGTGTTCTCCCACCCCACTTACTCTTCAGTCACCCCTTATGAAAATTTTTTTTTTATAAAAATTGGTTCTCTCCCTAAAAAAGTGATCAATAAAATTATTTTATAAAACTAACATCAGATTCGAAGTCTCCGCATCGAAATGCCCCAAAAATGTCTTTTCTAATAAATCGATTCTCGAATTATCCTCTGGCAAAACTTTCTTGCAACTATCTTTAAGATTAATAATATTAATTATTAACTAATTGATTTTTAACTAAAATTAACCTCACATTCGAATTCTTGGCACTCGATTACCCTTCGGTCAAACTTTACTCGAACATATAATAATACTAATTATTAACTGATTATTAACTAGTTAATTTTAATAAACTAACCTCAGATTCAAGTTCCCCGCCCTCGATTATCCCCCAGTCAAAGTTTTGCGGAAGTTTCTGAAAAATTAAATTTGAATGTTTTTTTGACCCTGCGGACAGACAAGCAAGCAAGCAATCAGACAATTTATGTTTACTGGACTCTTCTCTACGAGAAAGAGAACAAATACATAAATCTAAATCTACATCTAAATCTAACTGCATTAACATATGTATATAAACATAAATATACAAGTAACGCTCATCCGAAGATTCGCTTAGCTCTTTCTCGTAGAAATCGTATTCTACAATACTAAACTTTTTGATTATACAGTTTGGAAAAATTAACACCAGATTTGTGTTCTCCCACCCCACTTACTCTTCAGTCACCCTTATCAAAATTCTTTTTTTTATAAAAATTGGTTCTCTCCCTGAAAAAGTGATCCATAAAATTATTTTATAAAACTAACATCAGAATCGAAGTCTCCACATCGAAATGCCCCAAAAATGTCTTTTCTAAACAATCGATTCTCGAATTATCCTCTGGTAAACCTTTCTTGGAACTATCTTTAAGTTTAATAATATTAATTAATTATTAATTGGTTTTTAACTAAAACTAACCTCACATTCGAATTCTTGGCACTCGATTACCCTTCGGTCAAACTTTTTTCAAAAATTAATAATATAAACTATTAACTGATTATTAACTAATTAATTTCAATAAATCAATCTCAGATTCGAGTTCTCCATACTCGATTACCCTTTGATCCAACTTTTCTGAAAATCTTTCAAAAACTAATAATATTAATTATTAACTAATTATTAATTGGTTTTTAACTAAAAACAACCTCAGAGTCGGATTCTCCACACTGGATTACCCTTCGGTCAAACTTTACTCGAACATATAATAATATGAATTACTAACTGATTATTAACTAATTATTAACTAGTTAATTTTAGTAAACTAACCTCAGATTCAAGTTCCCCATCCTCGATTACCCCCCCCCCCCCAGTCAAAGTTTTCCGGAAGTATCTGAAAAATTAAATTTGAATGTTTTTTTGACCCTGCGGACAGACAAGCAAGCAAGCAAGCAAACAATTTATTCTTACTGGACTCTTCTCTTACGAGAAAGAGAATAAATCTAAATCTAAATCTAAGTACATAGGATGGAGTGTGTATATGGATGAAGACGGTCCGTTTATATTATAACTATAAATAGGCAAGCACTCTATTTTCAATAATATCAAACAATGAATAAAGTGGTGAGTAATATGTTATTTTCGAATTCTTTCTCTTCTTCTTTCGTATTTAGTTCTTCCACTTAAACAACATCATCAATTAAATTATAAATTGTTACAATCTTGATTACGAGTTAATCAGCTATATATTATTATCAATCCAACATCAACTGCATCAATCGATGAACCACATGGTGAGTGATGTTTTTATTTTATTTTTTTCGTAAATCTATACTCCCATTTCGTCAACACATTATTGAGCGATATAATGAGCTAGTTATTTCAATTATAGGTTCTTCTATTCTTCTATAAGTTACTAAACTATCAATCCAATGTGCCGACTGATTCATATATAAGATATTCCTGATTTTTTTTTGTTCGTATAAGTTTATCTTTATTATCAAGTTAACCTCTTTTTTTTAATAAGTAATTTAGTAATACCCAACATATTCCTCGCGAACGAAATGATATAGACTTCTTTCTTATCTTTTCTTTCCATCTCATATCCTATTTTATGGTCGCATCCAGTAACATGGAATATTTCTTCTCTTTTCTAGAACTGATAAGTGACATAGACGTTCTTATATCAAATGCATTATTTAATAAAGTAACCATCGTTCTCCCTACAAATCTATCCAATTATTGAAACTTAATTTTCTTTCTGCATTTGAGCCTCGCACCATTTCTTTCTGTTCATGCATATGTTATACAGCATTAAACATAATAACACCCTCAACCAGCCATATACTCATCTTTTCTGCCAATTTCACTTATTCCTCGTTGCTTTTTCTTCACTTCTAATACGTACATAGAAGCGTTGGCGACAGATGCTTCGAATATGCGATAAATACCTTTAGTTGCTAAAATACGTTCAACCAAATGTTGAACGCCAGAGCATTTCTTGAGTACCATACTGGCGTTCCCTATTTGAGTTATAGATTGAAAACTGTGCCTTATAAATTCACAAGTGACTACTACTATGTTGGATCATCTTATACTTCTATCGTTTTTATTTCTGATTTTCTTTCTTGCCTTACAACAAATGTTTCTGCCGTATCTCAAAAATCGTTGTCGTAGTTGATCCTTTCGCATCAGCCATTTAAGAGTCAACGAAATTGATTCATCAATTCGAATATTTGTTGATGAACCTTTTAGTACTTGATGAGGGTGACTAGCTACTTGCAATAGCCTTTGATTAACGTTTCAATCATTCATAGAATTAATGAATGAAATGAAATACCCTTTGATGAATCTCTTAGTAGTTTATGAAGCTGGTGAACCAGCTAAAATACCCTTTGATAGTCCTTTTGATAGTTTAAGAAGCTGAGGAGCCAACTGAAATTCCCTTTAATGAACCTTTTCGTAGTTTATGAAGCTGAAGAACCAACTGAAATACTCTCTAATAAACCTTTGGGTAGTTTATGAAGCTGGTGAACCAGCTGAAATACTCTTTGATAAACCTTTGGGTAGTTTATGAAGGTGAGAAACTGACTGAAATACCCTCTGATAAGCCTTTCGGTAGTTTATGAAGGTAATGAACCGACTAAAAAACTGTCTGTTGAACCTTTCAGTGGTTGATGCAACTTCTCAACGCTTCATATTAAGTTTAACAAGGATAATTCAAAGGTATTTCATGGGAATATATGCGTTGATAAACGGATAAGTATGCGAAAATAATTAGTTTTTCAATTTACTATACCCTTCTGAAAGGTTTATCAGAGTGCAACGTGTCACAATCCCTTAAAGCGTTTTTGAAAGAGATAAACGCTTTGGTAAACCTTTTCATGTACGATTATTGTGTTTGATAAACGGTATTTTTGACTCGTTGAAGGGGTATATGTAGAGGTTTATCACGCTCTGAAAAACGTTTCAAAGGGTTTGTGACACGTTGCACTCTGATAAACTGTTTAAAGGTATATCAATCGGCGGATTTTTTTTTCAGTGAATACAGAACCGCATTGTTTTATCTTTTTTCTTGACGAGAACAATAGGTGATGACCACGGAGATGTTGATTCTTCTATTTGACCACGTTCTAATAACTTCTGCGTTTCTTGAACTTTAATTTCTTAATCTTTGTTAGATGCAGGATATTGTTTTGAATAAACAGGTGGATGGTCACCAGTTTTGATAGCCGATTGTGAAGGTAAATTGATAATTGATGGCGTTGGTCAAACAATATTTTGTTTCGTCACAAAATATCTTGAATTGCTAGACGATGATCTGATTTCTCGACGTGTGCTGTCGATTCGAAAATCTGTTTTCGAATCTGATCCGAATAGCATTCTGCACGAAGATGTTTCTGTAAATCATTTCCCGATAAGAAGTACTCTTGACATTGATCACAACAATTATTTCGTATTGTTTGATCCGAGTTATCTTTATTATATGAGATAGCTCCGTTTCCAGAATTTTTTGTATTTCGAGATGATTGATGATCTGTTGGTGGTTCTGGTTCTGAATTGTGAATTGTTGTACATATGGAAAATGCTGTATCATATGATATAGTTCCGATGCGCGTATTTTTTGAAAGTGTTTGTTGACGATTTTGAGCATTAATCAGTAAAACTTTTGTTTGATGATTATTAACATTTAATAACGTGTATGGTATGAAAATAAATTTTGAAATATAACGATTATAGGGTTCGAACATTAAATTATTAGCATTGGTAGCTTGAGAGGTGATGTCAACCAATGTTTGTGAATATGGAGGAAGAGTGATTTGATTGACCAACTGAACAGGATAATTAATGGAGAGTAGTTTGGTATATGGAATTCGAGTTAATTGACCATGTTGATCAGGAATAGTTAGATGTTTCTGGTCGCCAAAAAGATGGACATGATTTGTGTTAATCCAATCATGACCTAGTAAAATTGGTATAATTAGATTCGTTGCTACATAAGCAATGCCACGAGTTTCAATATGTTTAACTTTGATATTCAATTCAATTTGTCCGATGATATTCAACGGTGTTGCATTTGCTGTCTGACATAGATGTTGTTTATTGAGAAATCTATTGTGTTGGATTGTCTTGAGAAAATCGAGACGAATAAGTGAGATGGCGGAACCAGTATCAACAATAGATTCAATTGGTTGATCATTAACACGAATTTTGATGTAAACGGGAGAAGATGTTGTTGTTGATGGCTTGAAAATTTTACTGGGAGCACCGCCATCCTGTGACCCAGTTACTGAAAATTTGGAGGCATTGGACAGTCACGGACAAAGTGACTTTCTCCACAGTTGAAACAACCGGTTGATTTTTTATAAAAACAGTCAATTGTTCGATGATTTGATCGACCACACACTTTGCATTGATTCAATTGTCGGTATGGAGTGGATTGATTGTTGGAAGACTTGTTGTTGAATGTACGTTGATGATTTTGATTTCCAGGTGCTTTTATTGTTTTATCTCGTGCTTGATGAACCGAGTTCCGTTGAATAACGGAGCGCCAATTGGAAAATGAACGTGGATTCCGATCATCCTTATTGGTTGGATAATACTGATGATTCAATCGTTGAATTGCAGCCGTTAATGGTTGAAATGTTGGTTGATTGAGTTGTATTTGTTGTGATTCGAGTGACAGGTGACTAGATTTTTCAAATGTTTCATGTATGTCTTGTTCGATTTTAGCATATTTAATAAATTCGGTTAATGATGTTAGAGTTGATTGCCGTCGTAAAAGTTCTTTCCAAAGATCAGGTCGTAATCCACTCATCAAATATTGTATTATTATCAGGTCTGACATCGTTGGATCAATTTCTCGACAAACGGTCGTAACATCATCAATGTATGATATGATTAGGCATGACCCAAACCCAAACAGTTTGGGTTTGGTGAGTTTGGGTTTGGGTATTGAGTTTGGGATTGGGTTTGGGTATATGAGTTTGAGTTTGGGTTTTGATTAGAATTTTTTATTAATTTTTATAAAAAAATGACATACGGAAATATGAATTGAGAGTTTCATCATTCTCGAGTACTGAGGTTGATACTACTATGATAGCTTTAAAAAACTGGCAGATACCTTAACATCACTTCTCTCTTTCTCACTATACATATTTGCACATAAATATATATGATATTGAAATTTGTTGCTAAATTATTATGACATCCAATTGTATTTTTAACATCTACCATTCATTTGTCTTTTACATTTAGTAAATTATACTACGTGACATATGTTAATAGTAAATAAGTATTCACATAATAGAATTAATTTTATAAATTTCTTCTCATTCTTTATGGAAGTAGTTCATTGTGTTTCTGATTATAATTCTGCAGAAATTAGATTACTAAATTTCCAAGTTTGATAACTAATACTAGGTATCATCGACAAAAATATTTTAATTTAAGATGTTTTTTATTTTTTTCATTTCAAATAAAGTGAAACAGTAAGTGCCAAACGAAATAAGTAACAAACAAAATAAGTAACAAACGAAATAAGTAACAAACAAAATAAGTAACAAACGAAATAAGTAACAAACGAAATAAGTATGAAACGGAATAAATGTTAGACAAAATAATACCGCAATGACTAAGTAATGTCAGCCACCTCTTATTAATATATACTTCAATAGAATCTATTTTGTCTGGCTTTACAAGTCTTCTGATAAAGTAGAGGAGTTTCCTAACTTTTTTGCTTCAGTGGAAGCCAGCATGTATATAGGAGCATAACTAGCATAACATAATCAAGAAAGAAGATGAAATCTTAGCTGAATCTGGATACTATTTGATTCTAAGGATATTAGACTGTGATGTTAAAAACTCGTATTGGGCAGAAAAAATATCACCTCTTAATTTTATATGAACTTCTATTTATATTTTGTTTCACTTACAATTAAATTAAATAATCACATATTTGTATTGTAATCAAATACAGATTAATTTTATTCATGCTTTATATTTATAAATAAACATTAATCATCATTTATCTACATTAATAAATATCTATTAATAATCGGATATTAAAAGTTTATGGTAAATGTAGACATAAGTAACTGTTCATATAACTATTTCTTTATATAAATATAACTAAAGAATAAAATTAATTTTTGTTTATTCTCAATAGAAATAACTAATTAATAAAATTGGTTTTAAACTAATAAAAAATGATACTCTTATAAATTTAATGTTTAGAGAAGTAATTTTAATGCGTACAATTTTGTTGCTAGATTTTTATAACGTTTAAATTCATCTTGAATAGAAGTTGTTGTTGCTGTTGTTACTTCTTGTTCTAATTCTTTGTTGGTGCATTTAAGAAACGCTTCCCATGCTTTGTCAATATTATTAGATTTTGGTACTGTATATGCAGCTCCTGATGATGATGTCGACGATGATGCTGTTGGTACAAAGCTTTTTTTGAAAATTTGTGTTAATTGTTTTTCAACCGAAGTTTGTTCGACTTTAGTAAGAGCAGCTAATCCAGTTGGATCAAAAAACCCATACATCTACATCAAATTAAGACTATTTAAGAATAGGATTAAATAAGGTTCTACTTACTTTTAATGTATTAAATTGATCTGTATCTTTGGACAAATAATACTGAAATTTTTCTAACACCTTGGCTTTTAATGCATTTAATGTTAAATTACTTTCTAATTCTACCAAATTTTCTTCTAAACTACGAATGAGATATAAAGCAGAGCCAATTGTTGGATATGTATTGTTACTTAATACTTTTGTAGCTGAATAAAATGGTTGTAATAAAGTAACAAGTAATTTTATTAAATCCCATTGATCAGTTGTTAATTCAATACTTGCTAATTTTTTTCGCTGTTTGTTAGTAAGATCAATATTTCCTTTGTTTTTGAACATATCACTAATTAAATCACGATACATACTGATTGTAGATAACATTTTGTAGCTTGAGTTCCAACGTGTTTTCACATCATTCGATAAACGACGTTTAATATGTTCATCTTTAGGAACTTGTAAATTATAATTTATCCGTTTTTTTTCAAGAAAATTTGATAATATTGCTGTACGTTTACTTGTATTAACAATTTCACGTGCTATATGAACAACTTTTTTAACTTGCTTTTGTAAATCATCTAATACTACATCTTGTAAATTAACACCTTCGATGAAATTATCAATAATTTCTTCATCATGATCAGAATCAATCCATTCATCTTCATCGGATGATATATCAGTTGATTCATTTTCAGATTGTGGTTCATTCGAACTATCATCACCATTCTATATAGAAAATCGAATGATAATATTAATAATACAAAACTGACTTGTGATGGAACTTTAAAAAGCTAGCTTGATTGCATAGGTCAGTTTTCTAGTAATCACTTGTCAACTAAAAACTTATTATGCTTTTCATCTATTATTAATCCTACTATTAATGATTAATTGAGTTTCTTTTTACATTCTAGAAGTGCACTTTATTTTTAATATCATGATACTATAAGTTTCAATCGATGGCAGTTTACAAGTGAAATAAATCTAAAAATAGTCTCTTGAACTAATTTTGCTGTCTTTTCTATTAAAATTTTTGAACATATCTAACTTATAAGCGACCAAAAAATATATAACGCCTTAAATCAATATATTTATAGTAGTAGAGAAAATACTGCTCTTTTAAAACTTATATGAGATCTTGTGAACAAATGATGTAAAAGTAAAATCTGAGGTAACAGAAATTTAGTTAACTCACTAGTTCGTTTTTTATTGTTTATATGTACTAAATAACAGATACAACTTAAATCAATCGAAAACTATATCTTACTTTGGATAAACTATTTTCACTTGATATATAATCAACATCAACGGACATGCTTCTTATCATTTGAGTTAATCGAATTGGTAGATCATCTTCATCATTATCTTCACTTGAGTCGTATTCAACAGTTTCTGCCATAGCTGTTGTAGTTCGATTTTTCTTTTCTTTCACCCATAAATTTAAGCTGTTACATATAATTAAATGAAGTTTATGCGCTATGCAACGAATATATGTAATATGTGGACGATTAAAATAGTTGAACATGTCGCGCATATTTGCCGCTCCATCACAAGTAATTGTTATTAATTTATTAAATAATCCTAAGCTAATTAATTCCTTTTCAATTACTTCGGCAATTAGTTTTGAGAAATGTCGTCCTTCGAAAGTAATAAATTTTAACACTTTGCAATGTTCATTAAAGTCTTTGTCTATAAAATGACCAGTGATGACTAAAAACGACTTCTGTTGGCGATTTGTCCAAAAATCACACGTCACAGACAGAAAGTCTGCCTGTTCAAATTCAGTAACAGTATAAATTGTATGCTGTTGATGTAGACGTTTTAATTTTTTAACAATATAATTACGAGTAGGTGGTTTATATCCTAGAACAAAGTAAAACCAATGTTAAAAATCAATTATTCGGAATTTTTAACAACGGAATCAAGTTTTAAATATCCTTGATAGGATCCTTTTCAACCTCAAAATCTAGGAGTTTCAGCTTTAAGTGATTCAAATTTACTAATAACAGTGTGAGTTTTCTATCATAGAAATATATCAAATCAATCCTTACCAGGTTTTAAAGCATTAATGTATTTTTTGAAACCGGATTTTTGGAAATCACCAAACGCTCTTCCATCTTGAATTATAGCATCAACAGCTAAAGCATCTAGGTTTTCTTTTTCTTTTCTTGTTAAACGATGAGTAGCTACACACGGTTGTGGTGTTTCATTTAAACCAAATTGTTGAAGACCATGTCGTTGAAATAAATGTCGACGAAGACTTGATGTCCCATAATTCGGTGTTAATAAGTTTTCTTCGCAAATCGAACATTTTGCTGTTAAAGGTACAACACCAATAAGCCGTTCGAAGTGTTCCCAAACACTTGCCTTCAATGTAACATCGAGTAATACATCATTAGATGGTGTTGTTAATAAATCAGCAGTTGTTGTTGCTGTTGTTGTTGTTGTTGCTGCTGCTGTTGCTGTTGTTGTTGTTAATGGAGAAATAGATGATGCCGAGTCAAGTGGATCAAGACTCAATTCATTATCTGATATAAGTGAACGAGGATCGATGGTACGACGACGTAGGTTCATTTTTAAGAAATGAGAAGATTAAATTTATACAAAAGAAAATTAATTAAACCTAATGATTTTGTATATAGTAAAGGAAAGAAAAAAATGATAATATACGAAAAATACGCCATTTATGATAAAAGAGAGAGATGTTCCTTTAACATCATGTTGCTTGTTTCAACGGACTATATTATCTTCTAAGCATTCAAAACAAAATTAATTATATATAACGGTTTCGTTTACCTTGTTATCTTCTAGGCAATCGAAACAGAATTTATCGTAGAATGCAAATTATAAATAAAGCTATTTCTTTACATTGACTGTTGCATATCCAATTAAATTTACATCCAGTATATAGAAAAAAGAATTGCGACCATTAGTTTTACTTTTCTGTCGAATTATTAAAAATAAAAGTGCAATCTTGTGGCTTTTACAGCTAAATATTAGATTGAATATAGCATCAGCTCGTCTAAAACTTACTTATCGTAAAGTTTCAACGGATAACAACGGATTTTGAATGAAAAAAAATTAAGAATTCTTTTCTCGATAAAAGTAGTGTGTTTAACAACAAGTTATTTTTAAAATATGTACTATAATTATATTTTTGTATGTTTTATGTACATATATTGACAGCAAATATCAGATCTATTATGTAAATGAGATAATAGAGTGCTTGCTAGAGCAATTACTTTTCAATTTTTTCAAACCATTCTCAAGCCAATCACACTCACACAGACAATATATCAGACAAAACAAAGTGATAGTAATACATATGTTTTAGATACAATTTCATGTTCTTGTTCTTGCATCGTCAAATATAGCCTATCAAACGTTGACTATATTTGTTTTTGCTTAGTTGCTATAGATAAAAAGCAAATATTGAGGACAAATGAAGCAATATAGATAAACCTATGTTCACACTCATGATTTTTAGTAACTTTGACCACCAAACCCAAACCCAAACCCAAACTTATCCCAAACTTTATACTCAAA